TGACCCCCCGTGACCCCCCGTGACCCCCCCGCAGGTGGCGGCGCAGCAGAAGGAGTCGGAGTCGACGCAGAAGGCGGAGAAGGAGGTGTCGCGCATGGTGGTGGTGATGATCCTGGCCTACTGCTTCTGCTGGGGGCCCTACACCATCTTCGCCTGCTTCGCCGCCGCCAACCCCGGCTACGCCTTCCACCCGCTCACCGCCGCCCTGCCCGCCTTCTTCGCCAAGAGCGCCACCATCTACAACCCCATCATCTACGTCTTCATGAACAGCCAGGTGAGGGGCGCACCTGGGCGCACCTGGGGGCCCCTGGGTACAGCTGGGACACACCTGGGTACTGCTCAGGGTATGGGGACACAGCCTGGGTATGGGGTTATGGGTTATGGGTCACCATCTACAACCCCATCATCTACGTCTTCATGAACAGCCAGGTGAGGGGCGCACCTGGGCGCACCTGGGGGCCCCTGGGTACAGCTGGGACACACCTGGGTACAGCTCAGGGTATGGGGACACAGCCTGGGTATGGGGTTATGGGTTATGGGTCACCATCTACAACCCCATCATCTACATCTTCATGAACAGACAGGTGAGGGGCTCACCTGGGGGCACCTGGGGGCACTTGGGGGCACCTGGGACACACCTGGGTACAGCTGGGACACACCTGGGTACAGCTCAGGGTGTGGGGTTATGGGTTATGGGTCACCATCTACAACCCCATCATCTATGTCTTCATGAACAGACAGGTGAGCTTTGGGTACCTGGGAACACACCTGGGGACACCTGGGGGCACCTGGGACACACCTGGAGAGAGCCAGGATAGAGCAGGGACAGGTGACACAGAACGGGAACAGGTGACACAGAACGGGAACAGGTGACACAGAGCAGGGACAGGTGACACAGAACAGGGACAGGTGACACAGAACGGGAACAGGTGACACAGAGCAGGAACAGGTGACACGGAACAGGTGACACAGAACGGGAACAGGTGACACAGAACGGGAACAGGTGACACGGAGCAGGGACAGGTGACACAGAATGGGAACAGGTGACACGGAGCAGGGACAGGTGACACGGAGCAGCTGCCACCACCAGCTCCACCTGTCACCTGCGCGGGACCCCCGATGTGGGGCTCTGGCTGACCCGGTGTCCCCTGTCTGTCCCCCTGTCCCTCGTGTGTCCCATGTCCCTCCTGTCCCCTGTGTCCCCCCGTCTGTCCCCCCGTCCCCCTGTCTGTCCCCCTGTCTCTGTCCCTGTCCCCTCTGTCCGGTGTCCCCTAACTGTCCCCCGTGTCTGTCCCGTGTCCGTCTGTCCCTGTCTGGTGTCCGTGTGTCCGGTGTCCATCTGTTCCCCGTGTCCGTCTGTCCCC